CTCTTAAACCTGATTACGGGTTTTTGTTTATTAATCATCCCTCAATTGGGGTCCTAGGGCCCTACTGGCGGGTATCTAGGCCATAACAGATGGCAGTTGGACGATCAATCTTGTAAGTCTCCGGCGGCTGCGGAGCAGTAGCAAACCGTTGCAAGGTCATTCTCCTGAAGCATGGCATCTGGTGGCTTCAGGACTTTAGGAGAGACCCTTTGATGGGGACCCTGCATGTTATGGAGGAACATATCAGGACTACCTGATCATATAAGGATATAAACGCTTCTAGGGATCACTCCTCAGAGCCCTTGATAGCTGCGGCAGGTTGTGCCTGAATTGAAAATTCCGTAGATCTTAAAAAGCCTGCCTCCGTCGGAATCATCTCCCGCCAATACTCAAGCCCCAGATCCCCCTAATATTGACACTTCACGATATGTTATCACAAACGGCTTTGATCTTAGGCGGATCCGTTTGAAATTGATGAATCTTAGGGGTAGGTGATCATATGACTGCTACTGGCTACCGATGGCAGGGTCCATCAATAGGCCTATAGGCAATTGAATACATGATTGAATTGGCTGCCTGTCACAAGATCTTAGCTTCCGGCGTAGTTTTGGATATCAACCTTGTGCCAGTTGCATGTAGCTAGCTGCTAGGCAGGCAAGGGCAAGCTGAACGTATGCAGGAGAATGCGCAATGGGAGCCTGAGTCATCGGCATAACCTTTTGAAGAACCATTTCATACTCGAACTACAGAAGGGATACTATCAAATTTAGAGGGAAAGCTATTGCCAATGGCTCAGGTTTGTTCGTTATAGGCTCCCAGCGCTCACTTTGGCAGTGCTGTCGCCAAGCAGGGTCACCAGCGAAGTGGAGGCGAACACCTTGCAGTCGGGTTCAAACTTGTCTTCCTGTAATAAGGATGTCTATAAGGGGTACCTGAAATAGGATGCCTTTAGGGGTCCCTACAGTAAGGATTATGATACTTTGGGTCTATAATGGCCCCCAATTATTTACGGAAACTCCCATATCATCCCCAGATGATGTTTGCTAGATCCTACAGAATGCTTTCACGATCCTTGCAGAAGTACTTCCAAAAAACAACGGTCCCCCTATACAGACCCACATGCTATAATCTCAATTCCAGGGACTCTTAAACAGGACCCACCGCCTTTGGGAAAGCTTCATAGCAACCTTGCAGCTCAAAGAACAACTGGCCTGCCCGTCCAGATTCGCGCAGCTGGAGTTTCCGGCAACAGCCACGACAGCATCTCCCTGGCCCATACCTCAGCAAAAACGTTGGGGTCTCTACGCTTATGTGCCTTTCAGGGACCTTATAAACTTACAGGTTCTTAGCAGGGAAGAATTGAATTTGTTCTATAGGGATTATATAAATTATATAGGGATTCTATCCCCCTAATTCCCTGCTAAGAACCAGTAAGTTAAAGCATGACCCTAAATCCTAAGTCCCTCGCCGAAGGCTTCCGCCCTGCCCAGGCGGCAGAGCTGCCCTCGGTAGCAGTGGACTTCAGGCACCTGGGCCGCCAAGGGGGTAGGGCTTAGGGCTTAGGGCTTATAGGGCTTAGGGTTTAGGGTTTTAGAGTTTAGGGCTTACAGTTTGAGGTTTAGGGAGTAGACTGTCATTCTCTTACTGGGGGTTAGCAAGAGATAGGGAATATGATATATACAGATTGGATTCCCTTATTCCCTACTCACCCGCCAGTAGCTTATCCGTATCAGCGTAGCAATGCAATCTGAACTTGTGACTTATTCCCTTGTTGCCCTTGCCATGATAAAACCGCCTCCACCCGACCGAATCATTTGCGGTGCTATCCTTGGGATCTATATTCGAAGCCCTGGCAACACAACTTGGATGTTGGTACACTCCTAAACCCTTATAAACCCTAAGCCCATGAAGGGCTTGACATCAGGTTCGGGCTGTGTTTCCGGCGAAGCCTACGAGAGAGAGCGTGCCTGGCAGGCGTGTGCAAGGTCAAGAAGCAAGGTGCTTGTGCGAGACGTACAAAGGTTCTGGAGCCCTGTGATATTACAGAATATTATACACTACTATACAGTATTATGCAATGTTATACAATAATAACATAAGAACATGAGACAATCCAAAAGACATATCAAATTATGCAACCTTATGAAAAAACAATCTCAAAAAGGCAGATTCAGCTGGGACAGGTCATGCCTGCATGCTGCCAGTCAGCTGCCCCACAAGCACCGTCCGAAGAAGCGCTGGCATAGTTCTCGCAGTAGCACACCTGACAAGACAAAATGCGTAGGCCTTAATAGGGCTTAGCTGGTCATTAGAGCGGGCCGGCAAACATATTCGAGGGAATTCGTCTCGAACGCTGGCTGCGGTTCGAGCCGGGGGCCCTTTGGTACTGCTCAAACCAAATGCAACTCGAAAAGGTTGTATCAAGAGGTGGAGCTCAATCAAACAGATGTCATTATGGGAATTGGCTAACTTCAAAAAATGCCATTGAAAAGTAATTAATGGGCATGATAGCCACAACAGCACTATGCTCAACATGAATGTATACCATCAGGTGCTGTAACCTTTAGCTGTGGCCGAAATAGCATCAGTCATAGCATGTCGCAGCAGCCATAATATTGATAACACGTATAATCACAACAAAAGTACTAATAGAATTACAAATAACTTTCAAATAGCAGTAATAATACACTGAACCCTAAAAATAGTAAACAAAAACATCCTAAATAGTAGTTTCCATTTTCTTTTCCAGTATCCCAATACAACCCCAACATAACCCCTACTTGAATTAATATTCAAGCCTTCAGGAGCCGCAGGGCTCCGGAAGATGTGCTGACGGTGTTGAAGCCATCTGTAGATGTGCCTGTTGGAACCTGTGGACATTGAGGCTTAAGGGGATTAGGATTAAGGGGTTTGGATCGGAGGGTTTGGGGGCTGGGCGGGGGTTATCAAAATCATGGTTGTTTGATAGTTGGTACTTGAGCTATCAATACTGGCCTTACTATTCATTGCAGTGGCCCTGGGCAGCATTTGGGCTAAAGGTCATGGTAGGACTTGGATCTATAAGCGAAGAAACGGCACCCCGGATCTAATAACTACTGGCACCCCGATTCTAATAACTGCCGAATCCTGCTGCTCGTGCGGTAGGATTGGGGGGGGGCTCCTACAGGAGGACGCTGCTCGTTTTTGGGGGTAGGTAGGGACTCCGATGTTGGCACATGCGGGAACGGGCCTGGAATGTCCAGGCAGATGCATCTCCTCTCCTGCGCACGCTGGGTGGAGCTTGCAAGACAAGGTGTACTGTTGTCTAAACTCCGTCTATACGGGGGATTATGTAGGGAACTACTACAGGGGTTATTGAGGGGGATACTAGGAGTTTAGGCTAGAGCTGAGGTGGAATGAGTGCGAGACACAAACATGAGAACCAGAAGAAGTGCAACTACAACGAGTACATGGTTGCATGACAAGAGGCCAGTGAATGTCATCCGAACACGTGAGGATACCAGTGTAGTACTACGGGCGGTGGCGGAATTGCGGTCGCTCTTATTGGGCTTCCTGGGCCAATGACTCTACCATGACAGTGGGGCGGCAGAAGCCTTAGTTTGGCACGTAAGCTACAGTCGAAATTCCGTATCTTTAACTAACGGACATGGGTTCGTATCAGGGAATATCAATTATTACGCGCTGATTAGACTATGTCCGCCCTTAATGGTACCTTAGTGAGCCTAATAATGCCGCTAACTCACATATTCCCTATAAAACCCTATAACCCCAGTTTCCGTCTCATGTCCCATTTCAGTTTCCATCGTATGTTCCATTTGGTTCTCCATTCTTGGCGGTAAAAACCCCACATGACCCTTTGCAACAACCATGTAACCCTTTTTAACCCTCATATAACTTTGTATATACCCCTAGCTACAACTTTGATCCCTATAAACCCTAACCCTAAGGGTCCAAGTACCTAATAATCATATACTTGCCCAAAACCTGTACTAGAATTACTATTACCCAAAACTCCAAGTACCTAACTATTGGGTACTTGGACCCCCTGGGTAAAACAAGCAAGCTCGGCACAGGCCTTGGCTGTAGCATCGTGCCTGCATTGGACTCGCCACATGGCACCGCAGGATCACCTTCTCAAAATTCAGAGCCTTTAAGGGATTATATAGGGTTCTGTATGGATACTATTGGATTTTCAAGGATTTGTAGGATTCATAGGCTTTGGGGTGTAAGTTTTAGGGTGAGACTTACTGGTGGCTAGCAGGGAATAAGGGATTGTGCTAGCAGGGAATAAGGGATTGTGTTATGTAGGGACTATTTGGGGATTATATTCCCCTATTCCCTGCTAAACCCCAATAAGAAACCCGCTTTGAGACCCTGGTGATAGATGCATCCGGAGAGATTTCACAGGGGTACCCCTTGGGATCATCGACATTCTGCAGTGGTCTCCTCCTGGATTACATTGGGAAATTACGGGGGAGGAAATAATTAGTAGGTACCAATAGTCTGGTACTGGATTCCTTGTATACTTATATGATATGTAATTATGGTACATAGTACCTCACATCGACCTGAAGATGATATTGGCAATTGTTTAGGTCCCTACAATCCCAGTAAGCCGGTACGCAAACTACAGTTCATTGTCAAGTGTATGTTCCAACTGATTCTCCATTGCGGGGATAATGGCCTCATGTAACCGTAATATAACCTCTATATTTCCTCATAGAACCCCACTCACTAAACCCGAATGCCTGTGCGAATGTATATATACGTACATCCCTTACATATTCCCTAGATAGCCCCTATGCATTTCCTGTATCTATATGCCTTAAACCCTAAACCCCTAAACCTTAATCTCTGACCCCCTAAACACTACACCCTAAACCTTGAACCCCAAACCTGAACCCGTAAACACTCAACCCTTAAACCCCAAACCCTAAACCTTTGGCAGCTATATAGCCCCGCCCACCCCCCACCCTCCCCCTGTATTACCCCCTAAACCCTAAACCCTAAACCGCGATTATTTTGAGAGACTCCCACCTGGCGTCAGCTCGGCCATGTCCTGGCGATCCAAAAGCCGCTCTGCTGGATTCGAAAATGGCCCCCTAAACATCGTAAGTCCCCATTTGGGTTTAGGGTTTAGGGTTTAGGACTCCTAGTATCCCCAGAAAAGCCCTATAATGCTCTCCTATATAACCCCTTATATAACCCCCTCTGAAGAGTTTAGACTATGGCTCATTTAGGCTGTAGATCTTTCCAAGAATCCGCAATCCCTCTGCTTTAGATTGGGTTTAGGATTCAGGGCTTAGAGAGGGAAATGCTGGGACCCTCAACCACCTCTAAACGGAATCTATTTAGGTCCAATTTGTGGGTTTGTTTGGGTTATGTACAGGATACCTGTGGGCCCAGGTAACCTTCCGATATATTGGAGACTGCGATATTCTGCGTTGTATTAAACGAAAATTCAAAACGTCCCTAAACCCTAAACCCTAAACCCTAAACCCTAACATTTCCACCTTGTCAATGTATCCTCCCCAGCACAGTCAAAGTCAGGAGCTGGGCTTAGGGTTTAGGGTTTAGGGCTGAATACTTGATATTGGGTTTTAGGGTTGAGGGTTCAGCGATATTGAGGTTTAAGGGTAGGAGGATGCAGCAGAAGACCCTAGATTGTCTCTTACGAGCTTCGGCCGTAAACCCTAAACCTTTAAAATCTAAATCTTTACACCCCAAACCCTCAAAACCTCAACCTTAAATCCTTCCCTTAAACCCCGCAACTCCTGCGCTGACAAGCCACCACGGTCTGAACGAACTGTGACCTGACAGTCCTGCCAGCGAAAGTCCCCAAGGCGCCCGAATATATGCATATAGGGACTATATTAGGGGGTTATATAGGGATAATGGAAAAGAAAATGGAAACTACAAGGGATTATAGGGGGGGTATAATTCTTGGGCTTTATAGGGATAATGGAAAAGAAAATGGCAACTACTAAAATATTATTGTTATATAGGGATGATAGGGTATATATTGGAGTAATATGGGGACTATTATAGGAGATACATAGGGAGAGGTGATGGGGTTATAATATAGGGAATACGCAAGTATGGGTTATAATTATCGGGAAATCATGCCCCATAATGGAGAATCAAATGGAAAAGAAAATGGACAATGATATGGATACTGGGATTCTATAATGTATTACAGAGGATTTCATATTTATATCCCGGGATGTAACCCCTACATATTATCAATATAAGCCCGAAGATTAGCCCCAGAGCACGTCGACCCCAGCCACAAGCAGGATATCCAAAGGCAACTGCCCCCTACTGGTAATGGCCACAGTCCTGCATGACCCTATGTGGTTTTGGGTTTTGGGTTTGAACATTAAAAAGGTGCTATAATCTACGCAAGGTGATGCAGGATTTTGTGCATCAACAGTATCACCCAGTCCTGCTGGATCTGACCAGGGCTTATCACCAAACATGCAGCAATGGGATCTTCACTGTGCTGGATTCCCATCGCATAAATCACGCCAGCCTCAGGGGTTTCAGGGCATGTGGCAATCTGGCAACAGGGACCAGTGCAAAACTTACCTCCGAATAGCGGGGAATGAAGGAATGGAAAAGCAAATAGAAACTAGCACAGTTTTGGAGATCATACAGGAAATACTACATGGTGATCCATTCCCGAATTCCTTGCCAACCAGAGGTAAGAAAAGGCAGCTTGAACCCAAATACTGAGCTTCCGGCATAGCGATACAAGGCATTATCCCGGTCGCACGGGGATTCCGCTGGTGGGAGTGTAATGCCGGAGCTTGCAAGATAATTCTGTTCGTCTGAAGCTGCACAATAGCAAATTGGAAAGGAACCACGAATCCGCATTTGTACAGGATACCAGCTGGCTTTAAGCCACCCAGGCTGGTTTGCAGATTCGATAATTGGTCCCCCATGCACCAGGGGTGAGGGTTCTGCATGCGGGTGATACACATAAGATGCAACGGACAAGGAATGTCTCCGCTTGTCTGAGGATGCCATGTCCGATCTGCCAGGGCAACCGGTGCCCGCATCTCGCACAATCGCGCGATCTTTGAAATTCAGACCAGGGCCTTGCAACCTTACTTGTGCTTACAAGGAAACGAAGGAATCGGAAAACATGCCAAGTACCATGCAACTGGGATTGGGGACTGGTACAGGGATCTTATCATAACAAGCCTTGCAACTCAAGCTTGAACGTTGCCCCGATCATCTCGAAAAGCTCCGTGTCCTCGGCTGGTCCTGCTGCCCAGCACCCGGGGAGGACCGGGCCAAAAAAGAAAAGCACCTTGGCAGGGCAAATGCAGTTCTCGGCGCTCTTCAGAAGCCTGAAGACTTCTCATGCGCAGGTGAATTTATCCGGACAAATGGCAAAGAACTTCTGGGTTCAATAAGCCTTTAGCAGCAGAGCTGCTAGCAAAGAAGTCCATAGATGCTGACCCGCAAGCAGTGCGCAACATGCTGCCAGTCGCGAGCGGCGCACACCTCTTGAGGGCGCCATGGGCACCGTCCTATCTAAATGCCTAGCTACAGCGGTGGCACGAAAGCATTCGAGTGCAGTTCTACGGCTCCGAGAGTATCTTCCTGCAAGTGAAGAATGGTCAGCGAAGAACTAGAAGCTGAATTGAGAATAGTTTGACATCCTGTGTGCTCGACGCATGACCCCGTTGCTCTTCACCATCTGCCTCTACATAATAAGCTAGCTAGAGCTAATGAGCCACAGGTCGATGTAGCGCGTGGTTGATTAGCAGGGCTCTCTCTACACCTTCTCAGCATGTCAGCCAGCCAAAATGACCTTGTTTGAAAAACAGAGGCCAGTACTGTGATCATCTGTGCCAAAACGGACTTGTTGCAACTATTCCGGCTATTGCAATTCTCTCGGGGGCCATATGTATGACTACAAGGCCCTGTGTGTGCATACTGCATAACTACTAATTACTGGTCCACATGCCATGGCCAGCTATCATGTAGGAGATTCAACAGACATGAGCAACACCTTCACCTGCGAGGGCGTTTCCAAAAAGAAGGGTTTGCTTGTGAGAGTCCCTACAGTGGATGTTAAAGGTCTACATACATTACGTCCATGTTGAGACCCCCCCCATTTTTCGGAAACGCCGTATGCTGCACGGTTCCTGTATGAACTTCTGCGAGAGCTGGTTCACTGCCTCCAGGATGCATGCCAGGCAGGAAGACACTGTCATCATAGCACCAGGTAGTAGCACAGATAGTAGCAATGAGTGGCCAGAATGACGGACAAAAATGATTGTGCTGCTGCCGCTCTTGGCTTGTGCTTGCAGAGGCTAGTATAAGAGGCAGCTCTCTACTAAAAGGCTTAGGCCCCACTGCCTAGATAAAATAAAGCTAGGCCTTGTTCCTCAAAACCCTGAAGCTCCACACCCTAAACCCACCGCCTTAAATCTTACTGGGGGTTAGTAGGGAATGAAGGAGTTTAATAAGTCGCCTCAACTTCACACACTCAACCCTTAACCTCACACCCCTAAACCCTCGGCGTGCGTCAAAGCTGTACGGGAAGAAGTCCACAATTGCCAACCTTGACGGACTGTCCTGCATGGCAGTTTAAGGTTTCTGGTCTAATTGACAGTTTTCAAGCCGTAAAGCTCCCCGGCAGACTGCCAGGCCGGCAGACTGCATATTTATATTGGGGTTATATTGGGATAATAATGGAAAATAAAAAGTACCATATTCTATAGGGTTATATAGGGGTAATATAATGTTTCACTTCAGCTTTCTTTCCCACGGCAGCTTGGAAAACGCTCCCTGGCAACTTACACCCCTCGTAGCCCTGCCGGCCGCAGCTTCATTGCCGGGCTTAGGATTTAAGGGCTTGTGGGTTAAAGTGGGTCATAAAGGGGTATGTAGGAGTTATATAGGGGCTATTTCGGGGCATTATCCCAATGATGGAGCAACAAATGGAAAAGAACACGGGAAACGACATGGAAATTGAGTTTATGAATGGGTTTATAGGCACTGTAGGGCTTGAGATAATCCCCAATACCATCCTCAGGTCTTTGTGATGTACCCCATGCCATCACTGTATGTGGGATCTAGGGCCATGATATTGGCAATTCCCAAAGCCCCTACATAAGAGTTTAGGATTTAGGGTTCGGTCTTTTGGTACTCATTTTGACAACATTTCAGGGGTATCCAGAGATTCTGTGGCCCAGACAAGGCTGGTGCTCTTTTTTTGGAATTCGTGCAATCATGAACCAGCATTTCGGAGTAGAGGAGGGGCGTCCCAATTCTCAGAAATGGATGTGGGATGATGGCATGTAGGAAAATTTTATAAGGAATATCAGATGATTAACAAAATGGACACTTCATGGCGCCTTGACAGTTTCCAGGCAATGTGGTTTCGAAGAGAATGCAAATGACGATAGAGGCACCCACTTGGAGTAGCAACATCAATGAGCAGAATGATTCGAGGGAGCAATCACAAGGGTACACAAAGAAGCATACCTCTGGTGGACCCCCCACACAGTAACAGTGACTATAGGGGATTACCATGATTCCATTGGCGCCCTCGTATGTTCCTACTATGGGCCCCTAAGCTTTGGGACCCATACCTCGGGAAATGCACATGTTACATGGCAGCTTACACAAAACCGGGTGTCCCAATATAAACCCCAAATGTAGTAATGTTCTTGTACTTCGGAAGTCCAAGAAGGGACTGCGTGAAATTGAAACAATTCCTTGATTTGAATAGGCGTAGCGCTGTTGTTGGAGACCCCAACTCAATAAACAACTTGAAGCATCGCTGACACCCTCAGGCCTTGTAAGCTCCATCTAAAGGCCGCCTTGCATACTGTACAGCCCCGCTTGCCTAGCAGAGGCAACTCCCCTAAAGGATGTTCAGTTACCTGCCACAGAAGACCCCGACCCAACCCCTGAGGAGCTATGATATAGCGGAGCCAAGAGGAATCAAAAGGAGCTACGTCAGTCTCACCGAAGCCCAAGAGTTTTGTTCTCTTATCATTTTTTGCTTGCCACAGTTTCCTGCCATACTTGGCAGCTAGGTGAAACTTTAACTTTCTGGTTCTTACTAGGGAAGAATATACTCCCTACAACATAAAATGTTCCCTTATTCCCTACTAAGACCCAGTAATGCAAACCAAAAACCTGAAGCCTAAAAGTAAAGCCCTGAGGCCTGCAGAAGACATCTCACACCCTAAACACTAAATCATAAGCTACAAAGGCCTCAATCCCAAATCCTAAGCGCTGAGCCCTGAACTTATTCCTTTGCTCCCTACCAAGAACCAATAAGTGAATCCTACAAGCCCTAGCTGGATCCCAAAAGTACGTGAAATTATAGCCCACAACCAACTAAAAAAACCAAAAGGCTATTGTTCTACATGCTTTTGGTGTTCAGGCAAACCCCAAACCCTAAACCATAAACCCCTAAACCCTAAACCCTAACGCCCTAAACCTCCTAAACCCCTAAACCCCAAACCCTAAACCCTAAACCCTAAACCCCTAAACCCTAAAGCCTAAACCCTAAACCCCTAAACCCTAAACCCCTAAACCCTAAACCCCTAAACTCCAAAGTCCTGCGCCCCGAGCTCGTCCAGCTTCGCAAGGAACTTTTGAGCGACGTTCCTGGGTTGCTGTTAAGGAACTTAAATTAAGTTACTTTATGGGAGAAACCCCATTATTTACTATATATACCCATTATGGTAACTTAATTTAAGTTCCTTAACAGCAACCCAGGTTCAGCAACGCATCCTCGGGCCATGGTTGAAACCTGCCAGAATCAGGCTAATTGGGTTTAGGGGTTAGGATTCAGGTTTTAGGATTTAGGGATTTGGGGATTCAGGGTTTTAGGGTTCAGGGATTTCGGGTTTAGGGGTTTAGGAGTATGCGTTCCTAATATACGCCCTTAGGCCTGTTTAGGGGGATTCTGTGTGTCTGTAGACCCCTAGAACATGAAAAATGAGCCCTTCTTAGTCTCAATACAACTCTTACACCCTACACCCTAAATCCTGCGACAACCTAAACTTTAAACCCTTACCCTAGGGATCCATGTACACAAATAATTCCTACATTGGGCCCTAAAGTCTGTAAATATTACCTACATTGGGCTATTTGGATCCCTATAGGGTTAAGCCTACGTTGCATAACTCGCCAGGCCGACCAGTCGATGGTCGTGCAGTTCACGAGGGCCGGGAATTTTCGCGCCCGACTCCACAGGCCGTCGCCCACAGGGCTGAAGCCTGGCAATGTACTAACATGAGCTATAGTCTAAACTCCTTAAAGGGGGTTATATAGGGGATTATATGGGGCATTACTACAAAATTATTACGGGGGATACTAGGAGTTTAGACTATATGGGGGGTTCCCAAAATATGCGGGCTTTATATGGGGGTTATGTAGGGGGTTCTATTGGGGTTATACAGGGGTTATGTAGGGTTTAGGATTAGGGTTTAGGGTTTAGGGCTTCCCAAAAATTAGGGGGTACCCATTTTGGTGGTCCCCATAATAGGGATTATAGTATTTTGGGGTCTATATTGGGGCCCCCTTTTTTGGAAAAACTACCATATGAGGGTTATATAGGGATGATGTAAGGATTGCACACGCGATTAAAAAGGGCGTTGTAAGCGTTGTATGGGTATTATACAAGGAACTCATAAATTAATAAAAGGAATATATAGGAGTTAGGAGGGTAGGGATGGGTACACAAAGTGGTCCACCAGAGAAACCGGGAACATCCCGAACTTAATCCTAGATCATGAGTCTAATCCGTGATGAAGATTTACAGCAATTCTTCGCACGCTCCAGACTGCGGTAACTGTTGAGGCAAGGTAGGTTTTGCGGCTTTCAGGCTTGATCCCTTAGCTTTTGAACTAGATTCCAAGGCTCACCCCTCCACAATGCGTGGCAAACTCCGACTTTTGATTGGGCCGTATTCGGCTCCACTCAGGTCAGTCTCAACTCTGTGAGCTGAAGACTTTCCATTCAAGGGCTTCAACGTTTCGTTAAGGTCCGATTCTCTTCAAGCTCTCATGCTGAGGGTGTCGCAAGCCGGGACCACGATACATTGTCCATGGTATCCAATCTTGCGCGCAGCACAGTAATAGCTAGAAAGCTACTAGAGTCGCATACTTGTGAAGGCATCCTTTTCCAATTTGAGATCCCCATGATTGCCCCCGAGAGTCAGGACCTTGCCGGTCGGCAATTGACCGTAGCAAATGACAAGCA